CCCCCCCCCCTCTGCCATACATTGTGAACACAGCCTAAGTACAGTAATATTTTTTCTCAGAGTGTGTACCTTGTACGTATACGCCCTTTAACAACATGGATTTCTTTCTTGATCATTGAGAAAGCATATTTAGTTTTCACTTTTAAATTGTAGAACACAACAACTTAACTCCAAATGAAAAAATACAGTAGTACACTCTACTATTACCATATTCAAGCCTTATATATTCTTTTAGGATAAAATTTATCCAAAATAATATTTATTAATATTTTAAAGCTATGCTCTCAGCATAAATAACAACAATAAAAGCTGATTGGTAAACAACATATTGTATTTAGTTTTTGCTAGGACTCAGAGTTTAACTGATAGAAAACTTTTGTGATTAGAAAAAATCCTTTGTATCTATTGTATTCCTTCAAGCTTCCCCACTGATGCAACCTAAACAATAAATATTAATCAAGGTCTTTTGGAAATTCAAAAAGTTTAAATTTAGACTGCAATAAAAGAGTATATTTTGTAATGAAAGGTTGTTTGTTTGACATGATTTGAGTGACTCCTTGTATGCAAATGCACTAATAATGTTTGGTTAAGGCATGTCTTTAAGTGTCTTAAATTAGTCATAAATAACGTCTTGTGAAAATCTAAACGTTATAGATAAACTTAAACACGAATGGATGGACACTTTGCAAATATATTTATCTAGAAATACGAAAATTAAACTGGAGTCAGCTTGTCTCATGAATAGGCACAAGTTTCTACAGCATGTGGAATAATTAAGGTGTATCTAAATAGCGAGCCAAGTAATGTTTAATAAACTCGCAGATCGTGTTTTATCGGGTCTAAAACCACTCGGCTACGCTTCGTGTTTTATACCCGATAAAACACTCTTGCTCGTTTATTAAACATTACTTATAGCACACCAAAATCCTTAATGCTTTCAAAGTAAACAAATCCTACATAACTTCAATTTTTCATTGATTTGTTTAAATACTTAAGTGACCAAGAAACATTATTTGCAGGGCCAAAGCTGTGTAAAATACATAATTTCAAAACTTGATCCTTGAAATTGTACTAATGGAATATCTAGTTTGCAGAAGGATAATGATAAATTATTGAGTAGATTTAGGCACAATGCGACCACAATAACTTGAGTGTGCTTTGAATTAACTGTGAAAATAAAGACATCTACAAGTACTTGAAGCAAACTGCAATTTCTCTCCCTCCCATGGGAATGGAATTTAAATATTTTTTTAATCAAAAATTGCAGAATCAGACAAGAGCAGGAAATCTTGGATAATTTATTTTACGACTTAAATAAACAAGCTATCATCCAAGACTGTTCCGTGAATTAATGAAACATGCCCAGAGGATAAAGTTCAACCAGAAATTACATTTTAATTCGTACACTGTGTGACCGACACTTAGCATGTCTGGAAGTTTGTCAATATCAGTCATTGCACTGGAAAGGTTTCTTTAATGAAATCAACAACGCTGACAATAAGTTTATTATATAACCTGCAGGAATTTTGAAATATTTTGTACAAACACTATTTTTGTGTAATATCAAAGGTCAAAAATAATAATAAATTCAATGGCATTTTTGCGCTGAAAGAAGTGTTGAAAGTACCTTAATGTCCAAGTGTACGATGCTGCGTTGATGTAAGTACTCGATCGCCTCGATTACTTGCTTCAAGAATCCGACAGCCTCATCTTCTGTTAAATATTCTTGCTCGCTCAAAAATTCAAAAAGTTCACCTCCAGATAATCTAAAAATAGAGGAGAAGATGGATTAATTGGGCAATTTGATGTCCAACGACAACATTTTAGGATCAACCGAGAGCTGTAAATCACAAACCGTTCATCTGAATAAACAAGATTGGTGCTCAACTTTGATTCTGGAGAGAACGTTTTTACGCAAAAATACTTGAACTTTTCAATCATCAAATCATACTCACAGTTCAAGAACCAGTATGAACTCTAGTTTAGTCTCAAAAATATCGTGTAGATAAATGATTCCTTTGTGGTTAATAGAGCGAAGAACGTTTGCTTCGCGCAAGATTTGCTCTGAAGTCATTCCTAGTCGAAGAGATTTCGCTCTTTTCTTCTTCATGAATTTAGCTGCAAATTCTTTACCAGAAGCTTTTTCTGAAAGTTTCTTGACGACTGCGAATTGCCCGCTGTATTGAGATAAGAGGAGAATTAATATTAGTTTGGGTATTTCATCTAATTTACCCGACTATTAGTCCAAGTAATTTAATTTTTTTTCTGAAATCAAAGCATTACATCTGAAACTCACCTTCCAATTTCTTGGGCGATATCATAAAAATCTTCAATAGCTTCATGGTGAATATTCAGAACCTCGGTCATAGTGAAATCTAGAAGTATTTTCAACTTGAATAAAGAGGTATTGATCCCCGATATGTTTTTTGTGACCTCGACAATTAGCCTAACTATCACACAAGTTAAAAATTATATAAAATGAAGATTACATCATAGAGGAAGGAATCGAGGACAGAGCAGATAAAATCAGCCTTTTATAGAACGATCAAACTAATGGACCTACATCAGAGATATCGTGTTTACACTATAACTTGGAACGTCACTCGCCGGAACATAAACTCGAAGGAACCCTCTGGGCCGGGCCAATCAAAATCGGGTACTCGTAGCGCGCGATTTGACTCAAATTCTTCTTTTCGTCTCATTGAGCAAAATAAATTCTTTATGACTGGCGACGCATTTCCGGTTGTGGCTTGATTCGTAAATTTGAATACCTGATTATCCGTGGTCAAGGAAGGATTTAAAAACAATTTGGAGGGATTTTCTGGGGTTAACCACGCCATGTTTTTAACACAGGAATATTTATTCCGCTGTAAGTTAAAATCGTTCGGGAACATTTTTCACGTCTCGATAAATAATTTTTGGGAGATTTCAAGATTTTCTTCCGGGGTTGTAGGTGGCTAAAAACGTGGGTTTTCCTTAATTATACGTCATAACAGTGAGACATATTTTTCATGAAAATTCTATAAATAAACAAATATGACGTCATAGCTCAGGATGACGTAATTATAGCGAAGATATTGGAACACTTTTGTGATGTTTGACTCTATTTTTAATCAAAAGTGTTGTTTTAATCACACTTTTGAAAACAGGAAAAATTAAAATATTAATATAGAATTTTCCCTTTTTTAAATAGTAAACTTTATCACCAAAGGTAATTAATATAAAAATGAATCGAATAAAGGGAATGAATGAATGAATAGACAAATATATTTCTGCCTTTTCCTGTTCGATTTATTGTCTGAGCAAATACCAAATAAAACCCCTTCTCGCTCCTTGCGTTTCCTGATCGGTCCGAAGGCGTTTTACCACAGGGAGCCCAAACCACATATTTCTTCGATCACACTTTGGCCAACACCCGCGTTGCATCACTTCCGCTTCAGCAACTCGCAAAATACTTACGAGCTGTTTATAAAGATAGACAATTTTGGGGAAAAAAATTAATCAAAAACTAAGTGTTAGCGAGCTTGGTCCGGTTTTATTTGGAGAATCTCTTTCGAAGGCACGAAAAACCCGTGCGCGCGCAAAAGAGTTCTAAAGTCATAAAATGACGTCATAATAGACGATGACGTCATAATGGACGGCTTCACAGCCGCACGCACATAAGTTCAAAACTCCGCATTGAACTTGAAAAGGTGGAGTTAGAGAATGCTGAATTTCTACTTGAAAGCAAAAAAAGAAAATGCTTAGACAACTTCGACATATATCGGAGGGGCATTACTATGGCCTTCGAGTGACAAACAAAGCCGAGGTAGAACATCTTAATAAAGAGCTTCGTACACTGGACGCATGTAAGAATGTACAGAGCCACTGCTATAGGAAGGAAGAGAAAGATCTCGTCAACACGCTCAAGAGGTTGAAAAAGAGCAAGGAGCACCACGTAGAGGAGCATTTTGGACGACACTCAAAACACGACAGTGGGCATTCCATAGCACATGGGCACAAACCAAAACACCACCCTTCTAGAGAGAGCAGTGCTCATCCTTCAGGAGCGCAAGTCATTGGGTCTACTTTAAGAATGCCTCAAGCAAAAAAACCGCTGCCTGATCACGTGGTCATACCTGCAGGGGGCTCCGATATTCACCGCACTACGGGATTCATTGATTGTGTTATTTGTAACCTTCCTCGGAGCTCCCATGTTAAAGGAACGCAAATCTGTACTTGCGATAAAGGCCCGGATAAAGGCACACATCATATGCACCCCCCTGCTATCCATGACGATAGATCTCGAGCAGAATATCTCAGCCTGAAGGAAAGGAGACAATTAGAAGCTCAAAATAGAAAACCAGCTAAAGAGCACGATGAAAGGAATGGTGAAACTGATTTAACTCAGACGAACAGCTTCCATGATGAAGACAAAATGTTCCTGAATAAACTTCACTGCGAGATGAACAAAGTAATCGAACAGACATCGGGAAGACCGAAAGATTTTTCGTACGAGAAACGCGCGCACAGCCCACGAAAGGGAGACAGCACCTACGAAGAGAAAGGACACTTTCTCTTTCCAAAAGCGAGAAGAGGAAGCCAAGTAGATGACGAACGCTTTCGCGCGCGTGAAAATAGCATCGATGAAGAAGGTCCATACACTGTGTGGAACAGGCACCGCAGAGGAACTCTTGAGGAACACGACTTTCGAAAACGTGGTCCTTCATTTGATAACGGTATTCGTGAACGAAATGAAAGCCTTGGTGGTGAGTCTTATTACTCGGTTGGTGAGCTTAGGAGTCGTACATCGACAATGGAAGACACTAATGTTTTTAGAAAAACATACAAGGTCCCGTACAATATGCACGACCCTCCGTCGCCGCCAGAACGACAACACTTCAAACCCCAACCACACTCTAGTCATAGATTTTCTCCGCGTGAAGAAACACACTTCCCCCAGCTCGCTCCTCAGAAAAAGGAAAGCACCGAGGCTTTCCATGGTCTAATCCACCCAGATAACATCATCAACCATCATCACTATCTCCCATACGAAGCAGACAAGCCTTCAGATAAGCGGCGCCACCATGACGACCATCACAGTCGCCATGACGACTACCACAGACGCCATCTCCAAGGTTACTACATTCATAAATACGACCACACAGGGGCACGGCAGATTGCGCACATACCGTTAGGCGCAAACGTGCATATATCTGAAATGATTGAGAGACAGCATGAGCCTGATAGCAACCACTTTGCACTGCTCAGTAACCTGCGTCAGCTGTTGAGTGTTTATCATAGCCTGGAGGATACTGCGCCTAAATATCCTTGGCCTAGTCCACCGAAAACAGAAATGACACCAGAAGAGTTTCAGAAACTTAAGGATTGCAGGTGGGTCCAAAACGTTGATAGCTTTTATTTATTCATTTTTTATTTCAAAGACGCAAAAACACAGTGGTATGTCTTTAGCCATTTTGTTTCGTCGATACTTATCTAAGTGGACGCAAGATAATGACGGGCGACATCAACGCTTTATTCTTTGATTACTGTAAATGATAACCAATCTCGCTCAAGTAGATTGTGAGTCTGCTTGATATCAATACACGTCATTTCCAGTCTAGCTGATGATTGGCCAGGGATGTACAGGGATGGTTTTGCAAGGAGAGCAGCGCTCCCTGAAGGCTGGCAACGAGATTCATGAGATTCATTCAGCTGATTGATACCAAGCAATTCTAAAATCGTTTTTTTTCCTGGGTAGGCTTTGATTCGCGGAAACCGGAGATAAACTGCTGTGTAGTATCTGAAAACTACTTTACTGAGTAATATTCTTGATCGTTTTTTAGATATCTACGGCTTCCAAAAAGCATGGAGGATGCAGTCATCGAGAGCCCTGTGTTTCGCTAGCTGCGCATTACGTTAAAAGCAAACACCATCGAAAAGTTACAAGAATAAAATTTCTCTTTTTCATTGCATTGGAGATTCAAATAAATGTGATACCGCTCTTCAAAGTTGGATATTATTACTAAATATTAGAGATTATCCCAACCACACAATTTTATCTTTAGCCTAGTTTAAGCACCCAACTTTTCATGGTGGTTCATAGTAATATTAGCTKGATAATATTAGAGAATATTAGAAGTTACCTATAATCTAAACTTTATTATTCATTTCCTGGTTTAGTGGTGTGCCATGATCCCTTGAATTCTTGTCAGGGCTTCAGTCCACATAGACATCTTCTTGAACACCTCAGTGTCTTTAAAGACGACGATACATTCTAGAATATACAGGACAAAAGACGATAATAAGAAACAGGCTTCTACGTCCATATATATACTTTGATATAAGCACGGTGCATGGTCGGAGTAGGTAGGAATGTGGTTTTGGGGTGTGGTTTTGCCACTCGTTTTTCATGTCAAGATACGAGATTGAAATATCTACAAGGACTGGAGCCAAACTTGCTTTAAAGAAACCATTTTTTGAATGCTTCGCAACCTTTAAGAGACATATAGGTAGCGAATCGTCTCCACTTGCGTAACTCATATGATGATCAGTATCATTGCCCACAAGCATGTTGACACGAGAAAACTCGCTGTAAAATACGAGGCCGAAAACGATTTCACCAAAATCTCACCTTGAATGATATTTTGTAAACTGCAGTCAGACTGTACAGCGGAAGACCCTTGAATGACAAACAACCATTCTAGAAGCTTCGATTGAAAACAAACAGATGATAAGACAAAAAATCAGAAGAGAATCAGGAAGGAACCAAATTCACTTGGGCGTAATGTTTTGGTCATTTCAGACCATGTGTCATTCTCTTGAGAATAAGACTCTTTTTTTGAGTTGTATCCATATTGATGTGTCTTCTCATGCACAACCGTTAAACAAAGAAATGATACTCTAGGGAATAACACGTGGTCTTGAGAATAAGACTCTTGGTTTGAGTTGTATCCATATTCATGTGTCTTCTCATGTGGAACCATTAAACAAAGAAATGATACTCTAGGAAATGACACGTAGTTTGAAATGTGAAAACAGTGAATTTGGTCTATACACTTCAATACCTTCTCAGTTATATGGCCCCATGGATCTGATTTCATGAGCTCCGCAAGAGCGCAAGACAGCAAACGTAGTAATTCATGGAGGTTCGATTGGACGGCCTCGAGGGACGTGGTCTGTGTTTCCTTCTGGTGTCCGGTTAAAGGAGAAGCGTCTATGGCCAAGGACAGTGGACTACAGGAAAAGTATACAGCTAGTCCAGACAGGAGGGTAAGGCCACGGGTTACTGTCTGTCGAGGGGAAAAATGACGATGAGTATTTTAATCTACTATTATTTTTTTCTCCATTTCTTTCTTCTGTTACCTTTTGTTTTCTTTCCATTTCTTTTCTTTTCTACTCTCCTTTTCCCCCATGAATATCTGAGCATCAATTATTCCCCGAAAAAAGATGAAAGAATAAAAAACATGGTCGCCATGTTGGATGACATATCTCGGTTTGTTGAATTCATCATGGCAGCCTTTACATACAATCCACAAGTTTAATCATTAAAATCTCAAGAAATGATGGTGTGATGAAGGGGGGTGGGTAGACAAACTAGAAGTACCCTAAAAAAACCTACTCTTAGCTAATTGTGTATGGATTATTCTACCTCAGCTGATGTTTTTTGTTGGTTACTCGTAGCTGTTATTCGTATTTGACTGATAACATCAGTAAACCAGGACACTCGATCATCCGTGCGGTGGTGATGGAATCCCTGTGTTGCGCTCAAAGCTCCGACGATGTACCAGGACATGAGGTCTGCTGCATCTGAATATCAAATGTAAGAACATGAAAAATATGCTCGGAATGTGAAATGGTATCGAGATCGATACTATCTTAAATGGATTCCTCATTCAATATGTAAATACACAAACTTTGATTGGTTTAGGGCTAAAGTAAGGATTTTCAGGCCCCGTTACATGAAGCCTCCACTCAAACGGGTCCGTATTTATAATTGACGCACCTTGATTGGTCGAATCTAGTACCCACGTGATACAAATATTTAGCCATTTCAGTGGTGCCTGACCATTGCTGACTAACCCACAGCGAACTAATATAGACTTGACGCTTGATTTCTGTGGACAGACAATGTACACGTTTTCATTAAACAAAATTTTTACCAGATTTAACAAAAAACTAGATGTGGGTTACCTGTGTTAATTTGTCGGCCTGCTCGAGAGGTACCTGTGCCAAGCACTTCGCTAGCAACTCGGAAATAAATGGGAACTGAAAAGGAAAAAACATCAAATATAAATCGTGCGTCATATTTTATGGAGTATTTATAGAACGAAACTACCTCTTGTCCCAAGAGCCCTGCCATTACTGCGCATGCACTGATATTTTTCGAGCATGCGTAGTAACAGGGCCTAATAAAGCTCTGGGGTTGAAAATGATTTTTTTTACTTTACCTTTGCGCATGCGTCTTGTGAACATGATTTATAAATCTGCTGCAAGGTCGAAGACATCCACCCAAACACAGATATTGGGAGGTCTTTAACTTGAAGGGCCGAGAGAACACCACGGAGAATGGCCTCTGATATTGAAAGACCCTAGRACAAGATTTAGTCGTTATGCGTAAATAACACAGGACACTTTACTAGGCTCCATGTTCACTCAGAAGGGTATACTGGGAAAGCCTGGGCACTGGAAAGGCCAATAACGTCACAGACATAAGATTAGGTTGGAATAGCCATATTAGTTTTCTATCATTACCTTGGATGGATTGAAACCGGTTATAACAGGTCCCTTCAAAAACTCTTGCAATCGAGCCGACGGTACCACGTACATTAGCTTCGAGAGAGACTGGTACAGCTCTTTTTGGCACTCAGGCTACAGGTATTGAAATACAGGTAAATAACATACGTTTAGACGTTTCAATTTCCAGAGTTTGTCTTCAGTCTCTACATTTTTGACACAGGAGTCTCACTTAAGTGTAGTATGTTGTTATACTTTCATTCAGAACATACCTGTAACCCAACAAAGAGTGCAGTACTAAGCCAAGAAGACAAAAAGGAAATAAGACTAGAAGAAGATTTAGCTTGAGTAACCGCGAATTGAAGACACAGTCGGTTTGTCTCTTGTCCTAAGATTCAAAGATACGAGTAGGTTATATATAAATGAACCTTTCTGTAGACTGGAACAATAGATTTTCCCCTAGTAGCCTCGCATTTAAGCGCTTGAAAATGAGGTTAAGCGGTTTAAAACAAAGGTTTTTATTCTCATGGGAACAAACGTGGCACCGTGTCATCAAGCCCTTCGACTTTCAAATGGCTTTCCGAATTGACCAATCAAAATTGAGGAAATTGACAGTGACTCCTAAATGGCTTCCCTCTGAGCCAATCAAAATTAGAGTCATTGACTCACCAAAAGAACTTCTCATAATTGGCCCGAGAACAGATGCCCAGTTGACAGGAGGAAGCGCAACTTCCGGTCCGGTTACCAAGCCAACGAGAACGCTATTAATCACGTGACTCGAGAAGTGCAAATGCGGCCCTGAGTAATAAAGGAATTTCTTTATTAGCTTGGAAGATAAATGAAAAAAAAAAAAAAAAAAAAAAAAAAAAAAAAAAAAAAAAAAAAAAAAAAGAAAATGTGAAACGATATGAATAGAAAACTGTTTTTACCAGTTTTTCCTGCAGCGAGAAGAAAGTCAAAGACAGCGCGTAGGATGCTTTTCTCAGGAAGATAGCTGTAATTTGCAGGAACTAAAGAAAAGAAAAAATTGAATAAATGGGTTATATTTGTTGTGTAGACAGCAACATAGTAGCGCAGATTTTAAGTACAACCATTCTCTGGGCTGATCTAAGTCAGGGCACGGTTAACTCACAGATCGAACTCTGAAACAATCTCTGCGCTGATCTAAGTCAGGGCATGGTTAACTCACAGATCAATTGGAATTTAGTGTGTTACTGAGGGAGGAAAACCGGAAGACTCAGATAAAAACCCCTCGAATCAAGGTAGAGAGCAAACAAACTCTATCCCAATATGATGCCGAGTACAGGAATCGAACATGAGACCCTAGAAGTGAGAGGCTATAATTTACACTACCGCAAAAGCCACCCTTGATTAAGACAAGACTAATGCAACACATTGAGAAGTCGCTTTTTTGAGTATTTTCTGACAGCTTACCGCTGGTCTTGGAGATGCTGTTCGACGTCGCTGCTGAATAAATATGGCCAAGTAACCAGGCGATATTGGCAGCCACGCCCACATCGTGAGGTGAAGAGATTATCTGTTTGATATAAAAGAGAAACGTTATACGAATGTAATTAATGATTTTTATACATCTGAATGTATCGGATTATGACCAGTTCTTAATCAAGGATAGCTTTGATACAGAAGTGGAGAATTTATACGCAAAGCAAGACAAACAAATGCATCTACACAATTTCAACGATTCCCAGGATTCACTTCAATTGCGTAGACAAGGGCTTCCTACATATTGATGGACACACAAAAATATTGCTTACACTTTTTAAGGTTTTCAAGATACTCAAAGATTTTCCTTTGCCAACAATCTCAGCATCAGTAGCACTCACATCCATCTGTAACATTGAAACATGTCCTAATGTTTAATACTAATTAAATAGTCGGCATATTGCGCATGTTCCATAGTGAGATTCTCACACGCGATATGTTGCAAAAGACTCCTTGCAGCACGTCGGAATGCAGCTCAATTTGGAGGGCATAACAAAAGGTTTCCAATTCTCAGGGGATTGAAATTCTTTTGTTTTGTCCTCTAAATTGAGCTTTTTGGACGTCAAGAGGTTTATACGTTACTAACAAACAGKCTCAACTTCTAACCCAACATTTAGGCAACATTTGTTTGTTCAAGTCTTGGGGCCATTTATCATGGTCTGCCAACAGTGTTGGGTCAAAGCGTTGGCTAAATGTGGGGTCAAGTGTTGGGTTATAAGTTGAGACCGTTTATAAGGGGCTTAATCATCATTTTGCATCACAATACAAACCTGAAGCAAAGCCTGCTCAGACCCTAACAATCCCATCAACCCATTCACGCCAGCGAGCTGCTGAAGGCTTGGAAGTTCCTGTTGAGAGAAGACAATAGAACAAAATGAATCGTTGGAAAAGAACCCAGATTTCGCTCGTTTGCCCTGCACAATCAAATTTTCTAACCTCGTTTTCAATCCACGTTTCCCAGAGCTTAAGCTGTTGAGTGACAAAATCTGTCACACCAGCGTGACCGCTAGTAACTAGGCCATGTAGAAGACAACCAAGCGACAATGCCATACCAACTGCCTGAAAAATTAAACACAACTCGTGTATAGAATTATACTTTTAGTTTCTAATCCCGACATTCGTGACGTCATTTTCCGTTATCACGCGACATGGTTTTGGATAATAGACTAATTAAGTAAAAACAAGGTGACACGTGACAGTCTGAACTGATGAACTTGTGGCCCTCTATGTTCATTGTCTCTAAGTGAGATGGGGCCGCCATTTTACGTGGTCATCCGATTCACAGCAAAGGCCTAACCATTTGCAGATATTCTTAGAGCAAAGGCAGCACATTCTACTGATATTATAAGACCCTGAGTGTTGGTCCGGTCAAGGCTTGAGCCTACGAACCCCCGCACAACAGATCGATGCTCAACCAACCGGGTCAACCAAGGCAAGGGTAAGGTATAACTTGTTAGTGCACTGGAATTAATTTTTACCTCAACGTTCTTGGAAGAGAGGTCTTTTAATAAGAGTACACATTGAGTAGCGTCTTCACCAGATATAATACCGGTGTGATAGGCGTTAACTGATACCAAAGAAAAACTAAAGGAAAGAGACTAGAAAAGAACTAAATTAATCAAGGAATGAAAATGAGAATGAAAGAGAATACAGAAAAAATGAACCATAGAAAAACAGGGTCGTAGCGAGGTCGCGTACGCGTTTCATCTTTAGAGTTTCCCGCCATATCTACAGATTTATTACGCGGCTGTCATCAAACATAGAATTAATTCATTTGACTGGTTTCAGGGGGGGAAGGCAATGTAGTGTTTTCCCGCCAATACACACGCGTAAGCGTTTCATCTTTAGAGTTTCCCGCCATATCTACAGATTTAGTACTCCGCTGTCATCAAACATAGAATCGAGGTTAACTCATTAGACTGGTTTCAGGGGGGGAGGCAATGTAGTATTTTCCCGCCAAAACACACGCGTACGCAGTTCTTCTTAAAGTTTCCCGCCATGTCCAAAAGTTTAGTAAATCGTTTTAAGTGTACAATTTCCCCCTCGCTGCGCCACTGGAAAAACTATATAAAGCATGGGTTGGGAGTGAGTGTGAGGGTTACTAAGGGAGGGAGGGGTAGGGAAGAGGGAGTGAATTAATAGGATAAGAAATTTTTGGTAAGCAACTACTAAGATTGCAGTCAATGTTCATCTTCATAAAATCATCCCGATATGTCTYGTTGGGTGAGCGAATGAGGGGGTGGAGTGAGCGAGCGTTTGTATTAGTAAATGATTTTTTAATAAACAACTAGACCAAGATTGTAGTCAATATTTCTCTTCACAAACATATTCCTCAAATCACTAACCTGTAGTCTTTGATCAGCAGTCTCTTGCCCATAATCCTGTATCAAGGCTATTAGTTTCTGATGCATCGTCAGAAGATGAACCCTTGAGTCCACGATGTTCTCTCTACAAAGAGCAGACAGGGCTAGACCCATCCCTAGGCAAGCTCCTTCCCTGTCGACGAATCAATAAAATGGCTGTGATGGTTAGAAAGTGACCTCTCTCTCTCTCCCTCCCTTCTATTCCTCCCTCCCTCCCTCCCTCACTTCTCCACATTCTTTCTTTTCCTCTTTCGCTTCAACCCTCCCTCCCTGCCTCCTTCCAAAAGTAATCAGCATTCAAATGTGCCAAAAACATGAAAAAAAGTCTGGTCAGACTTTGGGTGTGGGGGTTAGAGTTGTTGACCTGAGTGGGATACTCACGTATTTTCAAGGTCAGCTGACAAGGCAGCACCTTCAAGAACGTCTAGAGCTGTGGCCATTATCATGTATCCCTGAGAAAAGCAGAGTCGAACGTTAATCCTATTATTCATCCTAGTTATTCTCTATGATACCAATCTATGCTCGTTTAGTAAGTTTGTGTTTATACAGACTAGATGGAATAGAGAGGAGCGAATCAAACTCACCTCCTTTCCTGCCAGCTCACTGCAAAATAACATAATATGTTTAGTTAAAACTAACCTGTCCACTCTCCCTTTAGGTTGATCATTTGGCACAGCAAAAACTCTCCCTTTATCTCATCCCCTTCACCTCCCTTTTCTCCTTCCTTTTTCTCTTTCTCCCCCACATCCATAACATTTTTCTTTTTTTCTCTTTTTCTTCATCCTTGCTTTCCTCCCTCCTCCTCCACGCCCTTTGCTACCTCCTTCCCAAATGATGACTTTGTCCTTCTCTTCTTCTCCCCTTTCCCTTCCCTTCCTCATCCTTTTCTTCCCTCTCCTCCTTGTATTACCATTGTCCACCCATTGTCCAGCAATGAGTCGTATAACATACCTGAAGTGTTCCTGGTACAGTTTGTTAAGTAACAAGCCAAGACCTAAACTACAATGATTTTGGATCACTGAAGAAGAGCCAGCTCTGTCAAATAAAACATTTAGACCTTGTTGTTATTGTTGTGGTGGTGGTCGTGGTGGCTTTATTTAGATGTCTTTGTTGTTATTTATCATCGTCACAATCATTACAATCAACATCATCTTCTTCACCACCCCCATTGGCATCATCATCATCATCATCAACAACACCACCAAGGTTACCGTTACTACCATCATTGACACGATCATCATTACCACCACTCTGATCTTCATCACTCCCATCACCATCATCACCATCACTATCTTCACCCCCATCATCACCACCCCCACCCATCATTGTCTTCATCACAATATTGGACAATGACCAAGGCAGTAATGCTGCGCTCTAATAATAAAAAATGTTTGCCGTCCTAATGAAGGTCTTATATTACTTGGGCTGTCCTGGCACTCTGTGTTTCAGAGCCTCAGTAAAGGTCTTGACTCGATCGGGTTCCAAAGTCACAAGGACTGGGACCAACTGCGACAGAGCTAAGGCTGCGCATGCGCGTGCTAGTAACGAACTTGCTGTAGAAGTAGGAGAGGACACCTAAGGAAAGAAATACAAAATACTGTTAATGAATTGAAAACCTCAAGGTGTAGACCCCTTGCATGTGACGTCAAAGCAGCTCAATTTGGAGGACAAAACAAAAGCATTTCAATCTCATGAGAATTGAAAACCTATTGTTATGTCCTCAAAATTGAGCTGCATTCCGACGTGCTGCAAGGGGTCTATTATCTGCAGGCTAAAGACCAACCTGTTGACACCAAACTAAAGATGTTTTTGCTTTGTAATTTCCATCCAGCACCGCCATTAATGTATCAGCAATGACGCACAACCAATCACGCATGCGTTGTCTGTCGTCTCCTTGGACGCCGTCCCCGTCAGACTGGTTTGAACCAGTTGTTTCGGCAGAATCTTGAGATGTATGGGAACAGACTGCAAAGGCTAGACCTGCCAAGGCGAGCACTGAATTGCCCTGGACTGAAGGGTTGCCACTAGAAAAAAGAAAGATAATTTACTCTTTTTTTTTCGAGTAGAGGAGCATTGCGTGACGGACCTAAGGACCTGAGTCATCACGCGAGGGGAGATAAGCGTTGCATGACAACCCAAAAGACTACATCTGCATAGGAGAGTGTGACTTACGTACCGAGAAGCTGACTGTAATTGTTCTGTTAATATATCTCGAGTCCTGAAAAATAAAGATATACGCATTTATACCGTATTTCTCACATATTCTTTGTAGGCGTGACCTACAGTAAGCCTGGGTGCCAAAGATCGTCTCGCTCCAGTCCCTAACGAGACCTGAAACTGAGAAGCACTTGAACGAGTGAGCCTCCAGAGCCCATGGCAACATTCTCTACTCATTTCACTGAAAATCGTGTGTTCGGATAATGAGTAGGGTCTGGGTACGAGAATGCCGAAAAACGAATACAATTTCTTACACCATCCAAGCATTGGTCTGTTTTTCATTCAATTCCTTTTCATCTGTAATGTGTCCATGGCTAAACTGCAAAGCCAGTTCTTCCTTGCGACCCTGAAATGACAAAAAAGTTGAGCATCAACTTACAACAACAAGAAAATGTGAAATAGTAATAATAGAAAGAGGTGCACTTGTCAAAGGCGAAGATTTGGATGGTACACCCCCAAAAAAGGGGGAAAATTCAGGTTATGCTCGCCAGATAAATTATACATTCCTGAAGAATTCTCCAGTGCTTTTGACGTTTTCTTATTATAGGACTTGGGAAGGAAAAGCATCGGGCCATCCAGAGCCTACCAAACTAGAGCTATATTCCCATAAGAAATCTTTGGAGGTATTGTCTCGTTCATCCAACCTGATGACAAGACGGTGTATTACCTGTACGCATGTGTTGTAGAGTCTAGTCATGAATACAGTCCATGCTTGTGGTAACAGTAAATTTCTATGCCACTCTGATGGCTGAATGGGAACCTAGGGTATAGTAATGAAGGCTTAGTTTGAGTATGTGTTAGAACAAGAAAGTGATTTTATAATATCTAAATACAAGGATATAGAATTTTCCAAGCATTTTGGTTTTTTTTATCTTGTCAAATTCAARAGAAAACTTAATTATTCGTTTACATGCACACCACTTAGAAATGCTCAGTGGAAAATGGTGATTTCAAGTTGAATAAGTGTAAGTACTCACCTCGTGGAGTAACGAGCCAAGCATGTGTCGGTAGCTCCTGGCACAGTCCACGTGATATCGCCTTCCTCTCTTTCCTTCGTGCTGTTCAAATGGAGGCTCGAAGCAGAAAAGAAGACCAACTAAAGCAGGAAAAAACATGAGGATTATATATATATATTGCCTAGTATGTAAATAACTAGTAACTGATGAAATAATTTATGACCACTTGACGTGAAGATCAAAGCGCCCCCTCCCTCCCCAGCACCACCTCAACAGTGATAACGAATTTGTAAAGCATGGACTACAAAATAAAACTGCGGACCACTTTGATCTCAGCTTTTCTTTAAACTTTGGATGCCACAAGAGGGCATGAATGAAGGAAGCTTATTGGTCCATTGCCAAGTATTACGTGATGCTACCACGTGACTTCCTTACCCGCTAGTCCAGTGTTGAGACCAGGCGTCTTAGACTTGTCGTACTGAGCTTGAAGGAATGTTGGGATACCAGCCAAGGCTCGATCATGTGACGGGTTGGCTCGCATTGCATTATGGATCAAACCACGTGGAATGGAAGCCACTTCTCGTTGTAATAGAGAGGTCAGGAATGTCTGAAAATCTAAGATATTAGCACGTAACGTAAGCAACATTATCAATAGTTCGTTTGAAGAAAAGGAAATAAAGAAAGTGGAGGCCAGGATGGGGAGACCAGGAAGAGAAGACCAGGAAAGGAAGACCAAGAAGGGGAGTCCAGGAAGAGGAGGTCAAAAAGGGAAAACCAGGAAGGGGAGACCAGGAAAGGGAGACAAGAAAGGGGAAACCAAAAAAAGAAAACCAGGAAGGGAAGACCAGGAATGAAAGACCAGGATGAGATTGAAGTATCTTGAGTCTGTCCCCAAGTACCTGTCTAAGAGAAAATACTCTTCAAATATCTAACCTGGCAGACTTTTGGAATGTATTTTAGACAAGAGAGTCACATACACCTCTCCAGGAGGTGAAGAATTGTTGACAGTTTGTTCAAGAATCTCTGCATCTTCATCAGAGGAGGGTTGTTTTGAAGACATTAGCTTCTCTCTGATGGGTTGCAAGATCTAAAAAGAAAATACGCAATCGAAAATTGAGGGTTCGATCCTCAGCAAGAACAGGCATCTTTGCAAGAAATAAACTTTACTGTACTACTTGCCTCTTCAGGAAGGTGCAAGAGTTTGAAATCCTCTACTTCGAATTTAGAAAGTGCGGCAAAAGCTGCGCCACAAATGAATGGTTCCTGCCAACAAAAGAAAACATCATTACAGTCAGTTTTTCATTTCACATTTATTTTAAATTTTTTTCATTTATCCTATTCTCACCTCGTGTTGTGTTAACTTCCAGAGAAACACAAGGACTTCACTTTTGAACTCCTAAAAGACACAATTAGTAGTAGTAATAATAATAATAATAATGATGATAATAATACTAAGGATATAGCCTAGAACTATAAAAATATCGCTTTATTCTTGTAAAGTATTACGAATACTGAAATTTTAAATAAATGAAGATAATAATAATAATATCAACAGAGCAAGTCATAAATCCTTAATATTTATTTAGACACAATAAGTTTTACATCATTCTAGATAATGGTGTTTGCAACCAAGCTATGTATTAACAGAATATTTTTTGTTTGTCAAAATCAGTGACACAGGTACCATTAGCGCATGTACATGGTATAACATGCCCTAACATTGAAATGGCTTCCCATTGTCTTCCAGTAATTCATCCAATCACAACACATGGTTAAAAGGTACACCTAGAGTATGGTTATAAATTTGCTGTATTATTTTCCATTTAAACAAAGGTATTGCCACTATACCTCGTATTCTTTTGTATCAGTAGCCAGGCTTGGAGTAAGACTAAAGAGAACACATAACCCTTTGATCACAGCAGGCCTAGTATCTTGTGCAAGTTTAGGTGCCAGTACCTGCCATGCTGTACACAAATCAACAACCTGGTACAAAAAGAAACTTCATTAAAAAATTCAAGATGACTATAATCTGCCCTATAAGAGAGGATACTGATCAATTTACTTAATTGATTTATAGCAATTAAGACTCGTACCCCATTCACATCAGACCTTTTCAAAACATATTAAAAAGTTGCTTAGTTTAAATAATGACCCTTCACTTAATAGACCTCTTCAGCTTGGCGTAATGTTTTCCCATTTCAGACCATGGGCCATGTCATTCCCTTGAGAATAAGATTCTTTGTTTGAGCTGTAATCCATATTCATGTGACAGTCTTCTCATGTGCAACCGAGCACAAACCTTAAACAAAGATATGATACTCTAGGGAATGACACATGGTCTGAAATGGGAAAACAATACGTCAGAGCCAAAGAGGTCTATTAAATGACCTCAGGAAGGTACTGTGGTTTTAATCCTCATAATAAATGATGGCCAACAAACAAGGAAGGATGTGGGATTTAATAACTAAACAAGGTAAGTTGTTGTGAATGAGGTATAAGTAAAGCTTAGAACATATTTAGTATTAAGCATTTGGCACCTCAGCTTGACAAAGGGCTTGGATACCCTGAAGACACAGAATAACCACAACAGATGAAGAGTCGTCCCTTGTTTGAAGGTGTCTTGCATTCCTGCTGATTAGAGTTGTCAGTAGACCAAGAAGATCAGCACCATGTTGAGAAGGTCTGAAAATATATCATGAATCTATTGGATGCCAAGGTGGAAGTAAACAACAGGGATCAGTGGCGGATCCAGGATTTTTCAAAGGGGGGTTCCGTTTCTTAAACTGTGTATAATTCTCTTTTGTTTAGTCGATGTCTCACAAAAAAATTGGCTCTAATCACCTAATTTACTATCTAGTAACGGA